GCCCGCGGAGGAGGGCGGCCCACGGGGCGCCGCTCAGTGCGGGCGGGGGGCGGCGGCGCTGTCACGGGGCTGCCGGGCCTATTGCCGCGTTGTCGGGTTAGTCAGAGCCGTCTCCGGTTGCGCGGCGGGCGTTGTCCTCCGTTAGAGCCGAACGTTTGAAGCGCGGTGACGGAGGGGTCTCACGTCCCGGTAACGGCTGTTTCGCCCTGCGTGCTTCGTGCCCGGTTTTGGCGCCCGCCGGCCGCCAGGAGCCGGTCCGCCCTGCGAGCCCCGGCGGAGCGGGGCAGCCCCCGGCTCTCCCGGCGAAATGGCCGTCACGTCACCGCGGAACGAAGCTCGTTCGCACAAACAAAATTACCGCAGGTATTCTTCCTAATCGAAAACATGAGTGCTTGTCAAGAAAAGAAGAATTCGGATTTGAGGCTTTTTTAGCAAATAGTTACGGAAACGGGGTTTATAGCGCGTTCTTCGCCTTCTCCCGCGGTTTTGATGCATGGCTAACCAAGGAAAATACTAACCACGACAAGTGGGGAATTAAAACTTTACAGAGCGTTCACAAAGTAAACGCGAATCGACTCCATCATATCAGAACAGTTATTAGAACGCGCGTTCCTTTGGATGTAGTTATGTCTCTCGTCAGAACCGTTTGCAGGTGAATATCGTTTCCTTTAACCTGAGACAGCAGCGCTGATGGCAAAACAAGTTTGGGGAGGAATTACTCGGGCTCGAATCTTTATTTTCAGTCGCTGTACAGTCTGTGTGTCTCGTGATACGCATCCTCGATAACAGCTTAACGTATAACGCCAAGCTAAAAGGGGTGCTGCCCTAAAGAAGGTTTAATAAACGGCTTCATCGCTTTTTCCTCTCCCTCTTGCGAGCGGCAGCGACAAAGCGAGCAGCGACGGCTGTGCCGAGCTCTCCTGGCCGAGCCCCATCAGCCCTCCGCCCGCTGTCCTTTCTGTACCGGTACGGGGCTGCCGTGTCCCCCCCCGTCCGTGTCGTTCCCCCCGGGGGGCTCCGTCGCCTTACACGGCAGCGATGGAACAGGGTAAGACCTCCGACACCTACGCACCGGCGGGGCGGGAACCCACCCGACCCCCGCGGCACTCCCCGGGTCCCCCGACGGATGCCTCCTCCGCCGCCCCGTCGCGGTCTGGCGGCGCCCCCGGGCGGCGACAACGATGCCCGGGGCCACGCGTGTCCCCCTCCCCCCTCCCGCATGGAGAGCGAGAACGTGTTTATGAACGGATTTGGGTGCGGTTCCAGGTTGGGAAGAGGGTTAATGTCATGGAATCACGGAATGGTTTGGGTTGGACGGGACCTCAAAGACGATCCAGTCCCACCCCCTGCCCTGGGCAGGGACATCTCCCACCAGCCCCGTCCAACCTGGCCTTGAACACCTCCAGGAATGGGGCAGCCACAGCTTCTCAGGGCAACCTGCGCCAGGGGATCACCGCCCTCATAGTGATTAGCTTTTATTAATTAACAAACGTTATGGTTTGCCCCTGACATGAGTGACTTTTCTTACAAAGGACGTGGAAGCAAAACTGAGATTAGTAACAACAAGCTCGCCTGAGACTTAGGCATTCTGACGTATTCAGAATGGAGTATTGCAGTGCTTTGTCCAGCATTAAATACTACAGTGCACGAAACATCCCAGGCCAGGTTGGATGGGGCTCTGAGCAACCTGGTCTAGTTGAAGATGTCCGTGCTAATGGCAGGGGGGTTGGACTAGATGGCCTTTAAAGGTCCCTCCCAACCCAAACCATTCTCCGACTCTGACTCCGTAAGTTCAGACAAGTTCTGTTTAACCTTCCAGTACCTCTTTTTGTCATGCATACAGTCAAAGTACCTTCTCTTGTAGCTTTTGTGCAGCTGAAAATGTCTGAGAGACTACATCCTAAAAGAAGATAAACCACAAATAAGAATAATTTGTGTTTTAGATTCATTGGGTGTAAATGCATGTGCTTTCTATCTCACTTTGTGGACTACAGAGAAGTTGGATGCGCAGTACGGGAAAGCATCCTCCACTGTGGTGTACATTATTCCAAAGCCAGCTGTAAATGTCCGTGTCAATACAGAGCAACTGGGGAAGGGGGAACTCAGGGCCGCTCTCCACACAGGCTCCCTTTCCTGAATTATTCTGCTGCTGGTGGTGGTAGGGGTGAAGCCTGGTAGGGGAGGGAAAACAATATTGTTGCATGGAGTTACTTAGCGCATTAGTGACTAGAGAGCAGGAAAATTCATGTTGTAATCATGCTGTCTGCCTGTGTTTCTGGCAGCATGGATGCTGCTTCTTCACAGTGTACCTAAAAGAGATCCTTGTGGTTAACACTGAGGGGTGTTCTGTGCTAATAATGCAGTCACTAGAAAACAAAGTCATTTTAGACTAGATGATCTCTGTTGAAGCATCTTCACAGGATGATGTATGTTCTGGGAAAGGCCATATTTAATATTTTTCATTATGGTCCTTGGCACAAAAAGTAGGAATATGCTAATGGTGCAGAGCTGAGAGTCCTCATCAGTATAGAGTAGCGCACAAGAGAAACTGGATGACCTTGAGAACAGTGTAACAGAAATGTGAAGAAATGTAAAAATGAAGTTATTGCCTTAGAGTATGGTATTATTACAGTATTGTACTTGGGGCAAAATGCAAAACAACACTTCATATAGCTGTGGCAGAATTTAGACTCTCACATTTAGGAGAGAGATGTGCAGATTTTTTCCCCGTGGGCTTGAAATTGCGGAGAATAAAAATTCCATGATGGTGCATGCCCAGCCATCTTGGCAGAGCTGACCAGCTCGGTGCTTGTCCTCTGTCCGCTTGAGATTGAGACTAAGGTGGAGTTTGAGACAGATGAAGAAAATCAGTTAGGTAACAAGGGACCAGATTTAACAATCCGGGAAATCCCTTTCTCTCTCACACTCTGATTTTGTGTTTCCCCCAGTTCCTCCACCCACCCCTGCGCAGTGTCCTCTGCCATCGCCGGCTGTGGAGAGGCACTGCAGAGCTGAGAGCAGCTGTGGAGGACATCAGCCCCTCACAGGGTACATCCGCAGGTGGAAATGCTCTACCTGGTCAGGTATCTGAGGGCTTCCAGCATATTCACTGTTCAGTCGTACGTACCCAGTAGTTTTGACTTTTTCCTTGGACATTTCAGGGCAAAGTCTCAGGATAGCCCTGCACGCCGGCGTACGGCAGGCAGCCCCCCCAGGGGTCCTGCAGTGCTGGTGTTTGCCCTGGCATATGGTCCAACTGCGGGAGAGGAGCACACAGCGGGGAGCACTGACAGACTCCCAGGGCCGGGAGGAGTCTGTATCCTTCCCAGCTTCCTCTGCCTCTGACACAACCGGGCATCTTTGTGCTCACAAGGACATTTACCGAAAACTGAATCCACTGGCAGAATAACCGTGATGGAGACCAGAATGCACAGTACAGAAATGCTGCTGGTCAGGGGGTCCTTGCGTGCCACAGCGAGAAGGAATATGGAGAGAAATGCCAGCCGAGCAGTAAAATGTATGGATGCTGTACTTTCCCATTAAAGGGGGAGAACATTTGCAGAGGAAATACATTTTTTCTTTTTTGTGGTGGCCAGATGAGTCATTCTGTTTGTACACAGAAAAATGTCTAGAAATTAAAGTAACTTTCCATGATTGTGTGAAAATTAATTCTCAAAAAATATGGAAAGAAAAAAGGGCAACTATGTGTCCTCATTCAAGAATTTGTGCTTACGCTGCATGAGGTTTTGTTTGCAATCTGTCATTATGGACAAAGCAGTACTAAATATCTCTTTTAACAGCTGTCTGGTAGTCTGTATTTTTAGAGCTTTCTAATACAATGCTCCTAATTATATCTTTAAATTGGAGTATTGTGTTACAAGGTTGTATAAATAAAGCTGAGCACTCATTTATATGTAGACTTCAATTTGTTCTAACTACATTAATTTTTATAAGGCTGGAAGGAATCTTTTCCTAAATCTTGTATCATTCTTCTGCTTAACAATAAATCATTACGGAGTCTCAGTGCCAAAAGGTAGTTATCCCCAGCGGTGTTTAAGGGTGGAATTCCTAGTTGGAAAGTTTGTATTGCATCCTTTGCCAGTGATATTTGAGAATTAATTATAGTGCATTAAGAAACTCATTTGCAAACTGTCTTACCACTGAGGGATGCAGTTCCCCTCCACAGAATTCAGTCTCTGTCCAGTGCTGTAAAACTGAAAAACCACTGTGTAATAAAGGTTTTATATTTTGTTGCCTCCCTTCCAAAGTGTTACAGAATTAGAAAATACCTCTGCGTTACAGTCAGACTACTGCCACTGCTCAGCTGTGTCTGTGGTGGGCCCTGAATGCACTGCAGACCACCCTGGCCCTGACCAGCAACACCTGGGACGCAGCATCCCATCCCATCCCATCCCCTCCCCTCCCGTTCCATCCCAGAGCTCTGCCTGACCTCAGCCCAGGGCCTCAGCTCCCACCTGCCCGGTTCAGGTGCTGTGGGACCGATGCTGCTCACTTTGCCGTCAGCCCGGCTCCCGGTGCGGCTCAGCGCAGCTCCTGAGGACAGCCCGAGGTGTGCGAAGAGCTGCTGCCACGGTAGGTCATACCTGTCAGCGCCTGGAGTGGGATGTTCAGTTGCAAGGCTGCGTGGGGTCTGTTTAACTCCAGACAAAGGATGCTTCTAGGTGAAGATTCCCTTGCTCATGCAGGGGGGTTGGTCTAGATGGCCTTTAACGGTCCTGTCCCACCCAAACCCTTCTATGATTCTGCCGTTCTGTGCTGTGGCTGAAAGTGAAGTGGTGTCTTTCGTAAAACGAATCTGTGAGAGGATGAAAAGCTTTCCCGTGGGCCATTCTGTCTGCGGTGCGTTTGAAGTAGGCAGCACGTTTAGTTATTTTGCCATCCAGGCACCTGAGCTTTATGATGCTCTCAGAAAGCCAAGAGATTCACGTATCTCCTGTCTTTCTGGAGTATCAACCCCTTGCGAAGGGCGTGCGCTTGCGGCAGTCGGAGCAGAGGCAGCAGCTCGATGGCGCTGGTGGGAGCCCAGCCATGGTGGCGCTAAGCCAGGAGCAGGTGCAGGATAGGACCTCACCTGAGGTGTGCAGTGAGCTAAGGTGCACTAAATGCTCTGCGGTTTTCTCTGGGCTGTCACCTTGGCAAAGTAAACTAAGCGAAGTTACTCGAGTACTACTGTGACTACAGCATCGTTAACCTGTCCATCACATTGCTTCTGTCAAACCCGAGGCTGGATGGGTGGCTGGTCTGAAGCCGCGCTCAGGGTGATGATAGTCTGTGGGCTGGCTGTGCCCAAAAGCTGGGAGAGGGAGCATGGTGCCACGGAGAGTGACCACTTTCCTGTCCCTTCTTTGGTTTGCCCTTCCCAAGTAAGAGAGATTAATTCCTGAAATAACAAGCAATAGTTCCTGGTCATACTGCTTCCCTTTTCCTGGCAAGTTTTGGAGGCTTTTTATGGTTTGCCGATAGCAAATGAGCAGTTGTGGCTGTATGAAGAAGTCATTTGGCTTTCTAAGTTTTCATAGCTTAACAGAAGAGCTCAATATAAAGCTGTCAAACCAAAAATTTTTTTCAAGCTCCTCTAGGCACATTTTGGCCTAAAAGTTGGATCTACCTTTTCTGTTCCTAACCCACACGTTCCTGGCATGGGTTAACGTCAGCTATCAGGCGCCTAGATGAGACTGCCTTTTAGTATTTTCTAGAAAGAACAAAAGCAAAAGGCCCAGTATGTATTGCAACCTTGTTCCTTTGTTGGGTTTACT